TCACATCATTGAACAATAGCGTTTCTCAACCGTTTGTTGAGGGACTGTGGTGAAACATAATGGACTTACATTTCCATTCCATCATCAATATTCCTTTTAAGAATTCCCTTTGTAGGTGTAGATGGTGTTTCTGGATCCAAGAGACTTGACCTCATGTCACTTGATAAAGTCCGTTTTAGCTTTCCCTTCGGTGTGGTCGGCAACTCACGGTTAAACTCACTCTTTGTCTCCAACGAAGGTAAACCCTGTGTTGGTAACAGTAAAGGTTTTTGTCCTTGAGGTCTGTCAGTCTCTGCTCGGCAGGCATTATCTTCACTTTCACTCACCTGCATTGCAAGAATGAACAATTCATTAACATAATAGAAACCAGTCAGCCATTTTATATCACAACCTGACTTATAATGATGTCATTCAGCCATCTTCAATTGTATGTGAATAAATGCGACATGATGTGCTATGTATGTGCAAAGTCTGAAACAAAACGGCCGACAGTTGGCCATATTGAATCCTACTAGCATGTGAAATTGTGCATAATGCATGAAAAAAAGAAGTCAGGATTGTTTCAAACAAATAAATCTGTGTGAATTCAGACACTGAGCAAAGAAAATCCAAACACACAAACAAAGCCAAAACTGTCATAAGCACACATGCTGAAACCACTGAAATTTTTACATTTTGTGCAAATTAAATTTAATGCTCTATATGCAAATATAATAATTTAGTTTGCATACATTTATGAAATTGCACATATATATTATTGAAATTTGCTTATATTACTGTATTTTGCTTATATTAGTGTGATTTGCATATTTTAGTGTAATTTCATAATATTACTGCAAGTTGATACACTTGCTCACCTTTTTGTCCTTCTTAACAGCTTTCACGCCAGATTCATCAACAATTTCTTTGTAACGTTTCCCCTTGCATGATCGCTGTGGTTTTTCCTCCTTATCCAGACTTCCTCCCCCCTCAACTTTGCTATGCAGTGTGGGAATGACAGGAACTATACTAGATATTCCCGGGATTATGCGAGGGCTGCCAGAAGGTGCAGTACTGTGCAAAGATACTCTATGAGGGCTGCCAGGGGGGACTACACTATGCAAAGACACTCTATGAGGGCTTCCAGGGGGGACTGCGCTGTGCAAAGACACTCTATGAGGGCTTCCAGGGGGAACTGCGCTGTGCAAAGACACTCTATGAGGGCTGCCAGGGGGGACTGCGCTGTGCAAAGACACTCTATGAGGGCTGCCAGGGGGGACTGCGCTGTGCAAAGACACTCTATGAGGACTGCCAGGTGTTGATGGTAACACAGTTCCGAAAAATTTACTATGCAAGTCTTTCTGAGGTTGCGGTAATTTCTTAGGAATACCACTTTCCATGGCAACAGATGTTACAGCAGTAGATATAGGGATTTGTTGTTGTAGCTGTCCTGCCTGTACAGTGACAGGCTGATAGGAACTTGTGCAAGCGACAGGAATCGTAGCGACGGATGCCTTGACTCGTTTCACTCCATGAATTCCATTATCTTGTTTAGACTCTGTTGTAGTCGCAGATGCCACTGTGGAAGGTTTGATGCTCACAGTACCTGTCAAAACAAAAATGATTTGGCACACTGAAATACCACGTGTAAATGATTTCCCATTTTCTGCGGGATCTTGTATAATGTGTGAAAGGCACAGACCAAACTTATACTGCAAAAATGAAACAAGCCATGCATGGCACAGTCTGTTAGTTATCAAATTTAAGGTATGATATTGTTGGAACATAAACTTGTCAGAGATATTAAAATGGTTGACATTCAGTCATCTTGTATCTGATTGTCAAAACAAGTACTTGTCCATATTGAGAGATTTTTGCTCTGGAACAGCAATAATTAAAACAAAATGGCCACCAGTTGGCCATTTT